AATTCAGTGCTCTTGCAGGCACTGGTAAAATTGAATGGAGCKGGGGGGAGTTAGGGAGTGTAGGGATTCTGATTCAAGCTCATGTAAATACATCCTCCTGCAGAGGAATGCTGGTTTTGTTCAGCAGTTCACCTATCTGCAAAAGGCTGCAGGGAGCRGGGTGTGTGCTCCACCGGAGAGGGAAGAAATGCCACATGTCACTTTGCCCTGAGCAAGGAGACCTGCTGCATCTCTCTCTGGTGCTGCTGGTAACGGGCATTTAATGCTCTGCAGCATCACACCCTGTGAATGGGACCAATTTCTCACCGTGGAATAGGTTGTACTGACTCCCTGCACTCCTGAAGAAAACCTGTTCTCTGCCTTCAGTGATCAAACTCTCGTTAAATAGCAAACAGCTGTTYCGTTTTGTGTTTGTGAGATTGCTTTTCCTTCTCCTCTCCCGTGAAAGCTCTGCAGAGAGGAACGGCTGTTCCACCATGGGAGGTCCTGTCTTAGAGCTCTGCTGTCATTAGTCTTCTGTCACGTTGTCAGGCTTTCCATGACTCAGGCATTAAAAAAAGAAAAACCAAACAACCAACCCTGTTTCTGAACTAAAATAGACTAAGAACAGCTTTTTAAAAGCAAACTTTAATACAACTAATTAGGTCATATTTTCTTTCTGAAAGCTTTTAATGGGACTCACGATTTTGCCGCTTGAACTGAAGCTACTTGAATGTTTAATTATTATTTTTTAAACAAAATTCAATGCCATTGAAGTCACTTGAGGGCTTTGATAGATTTTTTTAAAAAGAAGAAAGAAGTCTTGAATATTCAGTAGCTTTTAAAAGGGCTATGCCTCTTTTGTAGTTGAGGTCAATATTTCTCAGCAGAGTTCCTTTAATGCATCAGAAAATGGTTCCTGAAAGAAAATAAAAACTTAAAATAAATATGTGCACTTTTCTGCTTATATGAGCAAGCAAGCAGAACAGGGAAAATAGAGGTAATAAAATAGGTGTCAAAGCTGAACCTAGATTTTACAGTGTTGTAAATGAAAATCACTGTAGCAATGCTATGTGAGAAAGTACGTGGCTTCTCAAAACAAACAAAAAAAAAAGCCGAGAATTGTGATGTAGGGCATAAAAGTGTAAATCTCAGAATAATACAGCCACATCAAGTGTCTCTGTGAGAATTTGCATTTGTCCAGTTTGGGTAGGTTCCTATCACCCAGTTTTTCTCCACTTTCCCCATTCTCATGCAGTCTTTGGCAGGTGGGAAAGTTGCTCCAGAAGGCTGCTGGACATCARGGGTGGAGAGCTTGGATCTGGCTGCTGAGGTGCACTGGTGATGGCTGGGGCTGGACACAACCCTTCCCGTGAGGTCCTTTTATATCAATCATCAATCCCTTTACTCCCACCGTGCTGGTGGTGAGGGGCAGCAGTCTGGTCCCTCCTGGTTTCCAGTTTAGCAAAAAGAAATGGGATATTCTGTATATTCCTTCAGGCCAGAAAACTTTTCACCWAGATTACTGATCTCAATCCTTGGTCAAACCAAGACAACATGCCATTCCTCTCCTTCCCTGATGCTGCTCAAGCCCCCCAGCCCTGGATGTGGAAAATGAGTTTATTTCAGATGCAGGTTTGTGGGGCAGTGCTGCACTGGCCTGCAGGGTCAGATGTGGCCAGCTCCAGTGCAGGTCAGAGGAGCTGAAACAGGATGAGAGCAGTGCCCCAGGCAGTGAGGTGAGAGGAGAGGACTGCTCTCAGTCGCCTGGCACAGTCTTGTGGAGGAGCACATCTACTCTCCTTCCTGCCTCTAAGCAGCACCTTCTGTGCAGGTGACTCTGGGTCATGCGGTGGTTTTTGTAACCCATAGAGGTTAGAAATTATTCCTTGTGAGAACTGGGTTTGTGGCCATAAGGGCTGGACACAAGACACCCTAAAGCAGCGTTACCCTCCACAGGAGAGCCAGRACCTGCCTGACACAGAGGCAGTGATGCTCTTGGGGTGTGCAGGCTGAGAGGCTTGTGGGTATGTGCTCGTCCATGAAATCATTTCTCACCAGCCTGGCAAGATGGATTTGGTTTATGTGGCAAGGTTTTGAAACAGGGGGTGCTACAGGGATGGCTTCTGTGAGAAGTTTCTAGAAGCTTCCTCCAAGTCTGACAGAGAACCACAARAACATCTGTGAAGACTATGGCACACTCTGGGCTTTTGTGTGCTCAGTCATGTAGGTGGTTTGTTCTCCTGTCTAAAACCCATGGTGAGAACAATCACTAGTTTGAGGCACAATTTGGAAATTACAAGGCAGGATGAACAAGGTTTGTGCTGCTGCCACAAAGGCACCCTGAGGAACATGAAAGCAGGCTTATTCTAATAATTATTGTGAGCATCTGAGAAATTTGTGCTGAAACTGAGCAACATGTGGTTTCTGAGAGTCACTGGTGTAATCCACTTTCAAGATGGCACTATGGGAGGAAGATGATCTGTAGAGGTTTTGTATTAATTTCTGTCATAAAGAGAGTTACAGGTCCTACATCAAATCTTTAAGGTCAGTGGAATCTTTTCTTCAGCTATCTTTTTTTTTTTTTTTTTAACAGGATTGTGTTATTTGGCTTTGCTATGCAAATAAGCTTTTTGTTTGATAATGTGATTCATTTCTGACTGATCTTCAAATGCTCTCTAGTCTCATGAACAAAAGATTTCCRTGACTTTATCTAGCAATTTCCATATGAGCAGAGGGTCATGCAACTGTGTTCTGTGTGAAATATCAGTAAAACAAAAATAACCCATTCAACTAACCAAGCCAATTGCAGACGAAATGGCAGGACAGGYTGACTTTAAGATAAAACACTAATCAAAGGGAGGCATGACTGTTTGGTGGAGTCTGAATTACTAAAAGCACATTAGGGAAAGGAAAACAGTGTTTCAGTCAATACAGGTAAGTGTATGGACAGTAAACTCTATGGTGTCAAAAAAGAATTACATCAGAAACAGCTTCAGAACAAGTAAAAGACACCAAAAGAAGTTAATTATGCCTCAAGAGCAACTAAAATACCAAGGTTATCAACTTATACAGAAAAAAGGAAGGAAAAATATGTGCCTTTATACAACAAATCACTTCACCTTTAAACCTGATACTCTTTGGGCTTGAAAAAAGATAGTATTAAATACAAAAGCAACATACTGCCATCTCATACAAGTTTGACCCTGTGTCTTTGTGCAGAGTTCAGCAGTGCCTTTCACATATGAACAAGCAGTGGAGTTTACAGCTGCTCTGAGCTGCCTTTTATCACCTTGATGATCTGTGCTGTTCTGCTGAGATCTGTCCTGGTCCTGGCTGCTTGCAGATCTTTCCAATCAGCCCGAGCATTTCTGGGTATTCAACACCTGACCTGTGCTCTGTTAGAGTTCTGCAGCATGCTGCTTTTCAGGATTAAATAAATTTAAGTCTAAAGGTACTGGGTGAGTTCATGAGCTGGTGTGCATCCATACATGTGCTTCAGTCTTACCGAATCAGTGGCTGAAATAAAATGTATTGCTGATACGTGGATCTCACAGTAGATTCAACTGCACTTTGGTGAAGCAAAACCTTAATATTCTCTTGTTAAATCATAGAGAAGAATAATTTTAGCTGCTTGTGTTTTATCCTGTATGAAATTACTGTAAAAATTTACTGATTTGAGTGGCCACTGACAGTACAGTCTCTGTTTGCTAATAGTTCTCTTTTCTTTACATCTGTTTTCCTAAGGCTTTTGAGAGAAAATTTAGGTTCAACATGTTCAGCTTCATTTAAATTACTATCAGACCAAAATTTTCCATGTAGCTTGTGTCTGTGAAAAAGGCTGCCCAACATACTGGTTCTGGGGAACTCACAGATTTATAGATCTTAAAGCAAAAGGAGAACACATTGTTCATCTAAACTGACTGCAACCCTGCCCAGACCTTAGGTTCTTTTATTTAACTCAGCAGCTTGAGGCTGACCAAGAGTATAATTTTGGAACAATATCCAGGCTTGATTTTAMGACTCAAAGTGCTGCAAGGTTTGTCACAGTCATTGGGATTTTGTACCAATGGTCAATTACCCTTTCTCTGAAAAATGCTCTTTCTCTGAAAAATACTCATTCTCTGAAAAATGTGTATGTTATTTTTTGGAACTTTGTTAACTTCTTTCTTCTAAAAGCTGGATTTTGCTTCTTGACAGCCGCAGCAGGACTAAGGAGACTTTTATTTTTCTCATGGATATTTCTTATGATTGTTAGATTGTATTTTCACAGAAAAATGTCAGAAAAATTCCTTTGTACTCAGAAACACAGTTAAGCAGACATCTTTTGGACCCCGGTACTCCCATGATAATGGTCTGATATAATTAAAATATGCCATCTTAGAAAAGACTTGATATGATCATGGTGATTTTTATTTCATTTACCAACTGGTAACTGGTAAAATCAGTTATCATTGGTTTATGATTAGGTCTAATTAATTCATGGCTTGGATATCAATACTAGTGAAGAAGGGTATTTAGTATATGCTGTACTTACACTGTAGGAATCATTGTTACTCCTGTGCTTCTCCAAGTCTTATTTTCGACATTTCCCTGAGTGTGTCAAAATGCTTTGCAAATGGCTTGAGCTCTCTGTTGCTCATTTTCCCACAAGCAATTCCCTTGGAGTCATAWTGCCAGATGATATCAAAAAGGTATSTGGTCCATGCCCTTATGCTTAGGCAAAGTCAATAATTACTCTGAGCCTGTATGACCTTCCTTCCATTCCTTTCTACTGAGAAGCTGAAGTACATATTATTTCCACAGTGAATGTGGAAATCAACATATTATCAACATATTATTTCCACAGTGAATGAAAATTGAAAAGAGTTTTCAAAAAGCTTGAGCAGTAACCTGTGTCCTGTCTCACATGGTTCCCTTAGAAACTGAGTAAGATCAATGGGAGTCCTGTCAGCAAATCCTGCCTCGATGCATTTGTCTCACTGATTTATGAGTAATTATGGTTCCTTTTTTCTCCCTAGGGCTCTTCCTGCAATGATGGAGTGGGTCCGAGCTCAGAAAGCAGGAGAAAGTGGTGTGAATATTATCACTGCAGATTTTGTAGAACTTGGTGACTTTATCAGCACAGTCATAAAGCTCAACTATGCTCTGGATGAAGGTGAAGATGACACTACTTGATAGTACTGTGACATGTGTGTTGTTGTGTTATTGAGAATTTGGAAAAAAAAGAAAGATTGTATTCTAAAAGGATTATATTATAAAATACTCATCTTCTTGTAACACACTGAGGTGTTTTAGGGCTTTAGTGGGTGGGCATAAGGGAAATGTTTTCATCATTTATGATCATTTTTCATATTTGTGTTTCATGTGAAGAGCAAAACTAAACATGTTTACAGTGTTTGATAAAAGAAGGCCATTTACAGGTTCTCCATGAGGTACCAAATGTGATTCATGTGTCTTCTGTGGTTATGAACAGTGCCAAGAAATTTGTTGTTTTCAGAGCAAGGGGATGTATATATTGTCCACTTCCTGCTCTCAGCAGGATTCCCAATGGTGTGAGCACTGCACCAAGAGACTGAGGGCAGTATATCTGGCACGAAAATTTTAAGCTGCTACATTTCATCTGTTGAGTGGTTTAACTGATCATATTTGTCAATGAGCTGCAGGTTTAAATGCCTTTGTGATGTAAATCCAAAGTCACGCTTCTAACACATGCATAATCAGTGGACAGTAAACATGGTGTGTTATGTACCATAGTCAGTGGACAGTAAACATGGTGTACTGTGTAGCTTGTGCAGAGCACAGATTAAATCCTGCTTGCTTTTCATTCTCAAAATGGGATTTTTCAGTGTCTCTGCCTCAGGTCAAGCCAGCAGATATGTGATGCTGACCTGCTCTGTAATCACAGAATGGGTCCGGGTTGGATCCTTAAAGATCATCTATTTCCAACACCCTGGCYRTGGCAGGACACCTTCCACTAGACCAGGTTGCTCAGAGCCCCATCCAGCCTGGGTTTAAACACTTCCAGGCATGGGGCATTCACTATGTTTGGCAACATGTTCTAGTGCCTCATCACRCTCACAGCAAAGAATTTTTTCCTAATATCTAATCTAAACCTACTCTCAGTCTGAAGCCTTTCCCCCTCKTCCTGTCATTACACGCCCTTGTAAAAAGTCTCCCTCCATCTTTCTGGTTGACTCCCATCAGTATTGGATGGCTGAAATTCATTCACCCAAAGCCTTCTCTTCTCCAGGCTGATAAATCCCAACTCTCTCAGCCTTTCCTCACAGGAGAGGTGCTCTATCCCTCTGATCAATTTCATTACTTTCTCTGCACTCCTGTCCCTCCTGTGCAGGGTCCCCAGGGCTGGATGCTCCAGGTGGGTCTCAGCAGAGCRGAGCAGAGGGGCAGAATCCCCTCCCTCCCCTGCTGCCCACGGTGCTCTGGGTGCAGCCCAGGACACGTTTGGCTCTCTGGGCTGKGAGTGCCATGGCTGGGGCATGTCCAGCTCTCACCCAGCAGCACCCCCAAAYCCTTCTGGGCAGGGCTGCTCTCAGGCTGGGCTGCTACTGGGAGCTGCTCTTGCATTTAGTTTTGTTAAACCACATGAGATTCCCATGGTCTACTACTTGAGCTTGTCCGGGTGCCTCTGGATGGCATACTGTCCTTCAGGGGTGCCAACAGCACCACTCAGCTGGGTGTCATCTGCTCGTTTGCTGAGGGTGCACTCAATTCCTTCATCTCTGTCATTAATGAAGATATTAAATAACACTGGTCATGATATGAACCTCTGAGGGACAGCTGCTGGTGCATATTTTGCCTGGTTCCAGCAGGAGCACAGCTAGGCCAGCTTTGAGCACCACTTCTTCCCAGAATTAATCTTATGTGAGAGCTTGATTCAGTATCCATTGAATTTAGTAGGAAAATGTCTGTGTTTAGCATGGATTAAGCATAAGAGCAGTGAGTTGTGTGTACTCTAAGGTGTGCAGTATTTCATCTCATCGTGGAAACCTGATTCCTGCAAGACTGAAACTTCACTTAAATGTAGGTACAGTCTAAGCTTCTCTTTAAGGCATCTATGAACAGAACACTTCTCCACTGATTACAAAAAAATCAGTGCCAGTTTCATCAGTGAAAAGTTCCTGTACTAAATAGTGTAGTAGTTCAATTCTAGCAAATAGCAGTACTGTATAGTCCTTAAATTGTCTGTGGGATATAATACTGCATAACACAAGGTTGGAAGTCTACTGAATGGCACTGTTCTAGCAACAAAATCACTGATCATCCTAGCTTTGAAAAAACATATAGAAAATGGATATGGAAAACTTACTAATTTATAAAATGAGAGCATTGCAACTGTATGACACCTAACTGGATGAAATACAGTCAGTCCTATCTCCTGGACACATCAATACAAAGGTACTCAACTTTGGAAAGTAAAACATTTCATCTGTATAAAACAATAGATGCTCTAACATCTTACAAGGAAAATGCCCTTTGAGATATTGCAGGGATTTACAGGATAGAATTAAGGTCAAATTTCTGTTGATATTGCTACAACTTTTGGTTGAGTGAGAAGCGAGAATGACCTCACACAGTCCTTTGCTCTTTTCTGTCAGACAGTAATGACTGCTAWCTCCCATCAGACTTTAGAAATTCAGAAATGGTCGTATTGAACAGATGGGTAATGAGCATTATAGCAGGTTTGTTGGCTTTAGTTTAGGACTGGAATAAAAAGAGCACTTCCTGCTAWTTTGTACTGAGAGGTTGCCTTGGAAAAAGTGTACGCATGTGTGAGTGTACAATAAAGAATAATTTAGGTGTATGTGAAGTGTAATGACACATTTAAATGTATGTGTGTAACACAGATATCCATGTACACTTGCATAATGATATTTAGAATTCTGGACAGGAGTACTATAAATTTGTTAGAAAAAAACATGCAGGTGTTGTGAAGTCATGATGGCTCTTTCAGTAGCATTTTCTTCTGTATGGTTTAGGACTGTAAGAGTCATCCCCGGTGAGATCTCTGATCTAAGCCAGTTAGGTTTTTTACAGCATTTAAAATTTAACCAGTTTCAAAAATTTACCTAGAGTCACAGCCCATGCTTTTGTTGAACAAGGGGTATGACTTCAATGCTTTCACCCACAACTAAGCAAGTTATAGAGTGCCTTGATGCACTTTGTTTCTGGTTTCCACAGGCTCTCTAAGTAAAATTTATATAACAGACATAAAAAATGAAACATGAAAATGTTTTTCTGAACCCACACTTATGTGGGTGTCCTACTCACAATGAAATGTGAAATGTGAAAATGTTTGCTTATTTATTAGCAGTGTGGTGTGAAATGCTCTTTTTTTCCATTTAGCTGGACTTGGTTGTTTCCAGACTCCTCCTGTGATTCTTCAGCTGCTTAAATATAGTCAAAAGAGTTAATGTGYTCTTCTATAATACAGTAAAGTGATCTGAATCCTTGGGTGGATTGAAAACTAGGGTTTTTTTGGATTCTGGCTGAAATTCTGTTGCATCTGAGAGCATCAACACCAGGTTTCTGATACCCCCTGCTCAAACACACACCAGACACACCAGGCTTTTTGCTTGCTCAGAGGTGTACTCAAGGCAAATGCTTTGCTCTGTTTTAAAAATTGTKTGTGTGTGTGCCTGTATATATGAATAAGCATAGAGCTATTTAGAGTTTGTTAACATTGTTATGAAATGTTTGCTTAGTGTCAGTTTTATTCTAATTGTCATTTGGAAATAAATAGAAAATAAAAGCAAAGCAAAAAAAAATCCTCTGACAAGAAAYAATAACAGACAAATTGTATTATTTGTCCATTAATGGGGGAAAATTCTAGCAAAATTTTAAATTCTGGTCAGAAAAAAAAAATGTTTTTATTTATCTGTTGATCTTTCTATTGGAGAAGCACAGCACTTTATGGTAGGAACAGGTAAACAAACTTGCCTTAATTACTAAAAGAAAAAAGTGCATGTGGGGATATACTATCCATGCTCTTTAAAAGATTTCATCTGTGAGGGCCTAAAACTGTAAGTCCTGATAGAGATGAACTCCCCGTTGAAATTGTTTGGGGATCTTGCCAAAAAAGAACAAGCCAGAAAGTACTATGCAGCACAACTGGACCATTSAAGAGCCCAGTTTTGCCACCCATATGCAGCTAAAACTGTCTTTGATTTCAACCCAAAATGTGCTGGCAGGTTTGGGTCAGATGTGTTATTCTGATCTCATTAATTTGGAAGGCTTCTTCACATGTATTATGAGGAATCTAGCATGGGAAATTGGTCGACTGCAATCAGCCCATCAAGGAAAAATACCTGTCTACACTATTGATCTGTATAAGCATCTACTCACTCAAACTGTCATGTCATTCACTGCCAAAGCAGTTTTTTGGCTTTCTCTGCTCATTTTCCCCCTCGCTATGTTCATGATGTGTGCATCAAGTTCTGTTGTTTTCATGTGATAACTCGATCCTTTCTTTTCATCCATACTTGAGAAATGGCAACTGTGCTGCACACATGGAGTGTCTCAGCTGTGTAAACMCACCTGGCTTCATTTCTCAGTTTACACATGCTGAGACATCTTCATTCCATACTGATTTAACCTGCAGAAACCCAGACCAAACAGGAGGTGGTTCCTGGAGTGCAATTTCTGCCTGTATGGTGAGAGGTGAATAAGAATCAAACCACAGGGGCGTAGTTTCAAAATTAGTGGGTTATTTGCATTCTTTTGCTGTTGGACAGATTACCAGTTTTGTAGGTCCTGCCATTTCAAAACATTCTTTTAAATGTACACATGTATGTATATATAAATATATATGCATGCATGGTTGAGAAGGAATGTATGATCCTGTATGCTGGGCTAAATCTCTTTGTCACACTGAYACAAATCTGGACAGTTTCTACTAACTTCAGAGCAGTTACTAAACCTTTACCCTGAGATGAGAGTGAGCAGATAGTCACTGTGTAGTAAGAATATGCTGTGTTGCAAGGAAATTTAAAACTATGGAGCTTATTTTCACAAAGTAAAAAAAAAAAAAGCAGAGTGCCCTGAAAACACAGTTCCAGTGCTGTTTATCCTTAATTTAGTCTATGAAGCACTAACTACTGAAATTGATTAGGCTATTTGGTGATTTCAAGAGTTCAGGTACCACTTTTGCAGAACTCTAAATTCTTTTTCAGTGAAGTAAAAGCTAATAGTGTATGATGATGTATTTGCCATATCTCAGTGGTAGCTTCTGTGT